GTCTCTTACCTCCTTCGGTTCTGCTCTGATCTTAGTTATTTCTTGTCTTCTGCTAACTTTTGAATTTGTTTGCTCTTACTTCTTTAGTTCTTTTAATTGTGATGTTAGGGCGTCGATTTTAGATCTTTCTTGCTTTCTCTTGTGGGATTTAGTGCTATAAATTTCCCTCTACACACTGCTTTAAATGTGTCCCAGAGATTCTGGTATGTTGTGTTTTTGTTCTCATTGGTTTTAAAGAACATCTTTATTTCTGCCTTCATTTCGTTATGTACCCAGTAGTCATTCAGGAGCAGGTTGTTCAGTTTCCATGTAGTTGTGTGGTTTTGAGTGAGTTTCTTAATCCTGAGTTCTAATTTGATTGCACTGTGGTCTAAGAGACAGTTTGTTGTGATTTCTGTTCTTTTACATTTGCTGAGGAGTGTTTTACTTCCAATTATGTGGTCAATTTTAGAATAAGTGCGATGTGGTGCTGAGAAGATTTGATTTGGGGTGGAGAGTTCTGTAGATGTCTATTAGGTCCACTTGGTGCAGAGTTGAGTTCAAGTCCTGGGTATCCTTGTTAATTTTCTGTCTCATTGATCTGTCTGATATTGACAGTGGGGGTATTAAAGTCTCCCAGTATTATTGTATGGGAGTCTAAGTCTCTCTTTGTAGGTCTCTAAGAACTTGCTTTATGAATCTGGGTGCTTCTCTCTTGGGTGCATATATATTTAGGATAGTTAGCTCTTCTTGTTGCATCGATCCCTTTACCGTTATGTAATGCCAGAATATTTTAATTTTTATGGAGTTGAATCTGTCAGTCCTTTATAAATTCTAGGTTTTATGTCTTGCTTAGAAAGGCCTTCACTGCCTTCAGGATTATAAAAGTTTATTGTGTATTTTCTTTAGCACTTTTATAATTTTGTGTTTTTGTGTTTTTATCTTTAGTCCATCTGGAATATGTATTTTATATGTATAATGACATAAGGCTCTAATTTTATTGTTTAAATGGATATCCAGTGGTCCCAAAACCATTTATTGAACATCCCAGGCCTTCCACACTGGTTCAGGTACCAGCTCACAAACCGATTCTTCTGTACACAGGACCTTCTCTGGATTGTATATTCTTTTCATCTTTCTGCCAGTTCCTGTGCCAGTGTCAGAGTTTTTTAGTGACTTTAACTGGTAGCTTGTTTTAATAGATCCTCCTTCACTTTTCTACACTTTTCATTTTTTCTTGGCCATTTGTTTATTTCTTCTCTTAATGAAATTTAGATTCATGTTGACTGACTTTCAAATTATGTATGAATTTGGGGGAAATTAGCATGCCCTATGGAATATAACATATTTCTACTTTTATGCAAGTTTTCTTGTGTATGCTTCAGTAAGATTTTGTACTTTTCTCTGTAGATCTCACATATTTCTTGCTATGTTTATTCCTAGACATATTTCAGTTGTTATTGGTTTTATAAATGGGATCTTTTATACATTTAATTTTATTAATTTTTTTTTTTTTTTTTTTTTTTTTTTTTTTTTTTTTTTTTTTTTTTTGAGATGGAGTTTCACTCGTTGCCCAGGCTGGAGTCCAATGGGACAATCTCAGCTCACTGCAACCTCTGCCTCCCACGTTCAAGCAATTCTCCTGCCTCAGACTCCCAAGTAGCTGGGATTACACGCATGTGCCACCAGGCCCAGCTAATTTTGTGTTTTTAGTAGAGACGGGTGTTTCTCCATGTTGGTCAGGCTGGCCTCGAACTCCTGACCTCAGGTGATCCGCCTACCTTGGCCTCCCAAAGTGCTGGGATTACAGGCATAAGCCACCAGGCCCAGCCAATTTTTTTTGTTTCTGAGATGGAGTCTCACTCTGTCACCCAGTCTTGAGTGCAGTGAGGCAGTCTCTGCTCACTGCAACCTCCGCCTCCTGAGTTCAAGCAATTCTTCTGCCTCAGCCTTCTGACTAGCTGGGACTACAGGTACATGCCACCATGGACAGGTAATTTTTGTTATTTTTGCAGAGACAGAGTTTCACCGTGTTGGCCAGGCGGGTCTTGAACTCCTGACCTCAAGTGATCTGCCCACCTCAGCCTCCCAAGGTACTGGGATTACAGGTGTGAGCCACCATGGCTGGCCTAATTGTATTATTACTGATATATAGGAAAACTTTTCTCTTATCCTGCTACCTTACTGAGCTCTCTTACCAGATTTTCACTTGACTGTCTTGGATTTTCCTAAATTGCTTTCCTTTTCAAAATTTACACAACTTGTTTTCCACCTTATCATATTGACCAGCACCTCTAGAGCAATGTGGAATTGTGTAGCCTCTTTGCCTTGCTCCTCAATTTAAAGGAAGTAATTCTTGTATTTCACTATTAAGTATAATGCCTGTTTTTGGCTTCTTTTCAATCTCCTTTCTCAAATTGCAAATATGACTCTCTATATTTAGCTTATCAAGAATTGTTATGAGGAATAAAGGATGAATTTTATCAGATATTTTTATTAGCATCTATCCTTCAAGGAAGCAGATTACATGAATAGATTATTATATATAGTAACAATCTTTATGTTCCTGGAATAAACTCTACTTTATCATAACATATTTATTAATTTTAATGAACTTTACTAAATTTATTAAAAGTTTTTTTTTCATCCATTTTCAGAAATGAGATTAGTTTGATGGCTTAAATGTTTGTGCTTTCCTCACATATTGGTGTCTGGATTATGCCATCCTAATATAATGAGCTGGAAAGCTTTTTACCTCCTTTTAAATCTCTGGAACTGTTTATATAACATAGGAAATATCTATTTCTTTAGTATTAGAAATAAACCCAACTGTTTCTCATTACTGTGCTCAGCAGTCCCTTCACCTCTTCTACATTCTTGCAGTTTTCCTTGTGCTGTAAATAATTCCTTCTTAATTCTTTCAGAAACAATTGTGGGTGGCACAATTTCTCAATATTTCCATGTCTGAGCAAGGTTTATTTTGTCATCATCCTTGAATGCTAGTTTGGCTGTATATACAAACTTTCAAAAGCATCTTCCCTTAAGTCTTCGAAGATACTGCTGCATTTCCTTGTACCACCCACTATTAGAGATGCATTGTTAGATGTCAATGTGTTTCTCATTTTTCGTAGATTACCTGTCTTATCTCTTTGAACACTGGAGGTTTTTAGGCTCAGGGGGTTAAGCCACTCAACACTTCACTAACCCTTTTAGTCTGAAGATCTACATTTTTCTTCACATCAGAGAATATTTCTCCTATTCCTTCTAAATTAATTTCCATTTTTCATCTCATAGTATTAAGAAGATATTGGGAGCTGTAGATATCTTATTCCTTATTAGCTTTTCTGTTATGTTTTCCAGTCATTTGCCCTTATAGACTCTGTATTACCTACATGAACATTATTTACAGTCAGTTTTAGATTTCTGCCTGGCCTTTCTGCAGCTTGCTCACGGGGGGCTTTCATGCTCAGTGAACAAGAAGTATTCCTAACTTTGCCTGAAAAACCCCGGTTAGGGAGACAAGTTTAATGGGGAAAGGATCTACCATCCAAACTAGAATTTTTTTTTTTTCACCATGTATATCAATTTACCCCCTTATAAATGCGAACCAATAAGAGGGCAGTAACCTTCATGCATGATTTCAAACGATCTAGGGAAAGACATTTTAAAAAAAACAAACAAACGTGGTTCAAGGAAAATAGCCATACTCATGTTGATGACAGTGTTAAGTGTTAATTTCTTTGAAGCACAATAGTACAAGATCCAATTTTAAACATGATCTGGGAGTCCTACTTCTATGAATTTAATGTACACAATTACCAGAATAAATACTCAAAGATTTATGTGCAAAAGTATTCATTTCAGCTTTGTTTCAGAAAAAACAATGTGGAAACAACCTATCTTCTCATCAGTAGGAAACCAGATTCACACATTTAAAAGCAATTTAAAAGAACAAGATAGAAGCACATGTACTAGCATTGATAAATCTCTAACACATCTTGCTGAGTAAAAAAACATATTTTTTATGTTTTAAAAGCCAACATAACTTATATTGTAGAGATTCATTTATATTATGTAAATATAGTGTAAAGTTCTAGAATATGCACAGACTGTCACCTCTGGAAAGTAACGAGATAATGAAATTAGAAGTGATGGTCGAAGAAAAATTCAGATCTGCCTGTAGTGTTACAATGTTTTAGAGAGACAATATAAATATAATTACCTGTGTAATTTGAAATTAATTTTAAAAGAGGAGTAAGGTAGATCAATAAGTAACAATATGAAAACTATCTTAAATTAATTGTGAAGTGAAAACACAATGTTTAAATACTGTATAGAAGACTCATTTGTCGGCCGGGTGTGGTAGCTCAGGCCTGTAATCCCAGCACTTTGGGAGACTGAGGCGGGTGAATCACCTGAGGTTAGCAGTTTGAGACCTGCCTGGCCAACATGGCGAAACCCCGTCTCTACTAAAAAATACAAAAAAAAGTAACCTGGCGTCGTGGCGCATCCCTGTAATTCCCACTACTTGGGAGGCTGAGGCAGGAGAATCGCTTGAACCCGGAAGGCTGAGGTTGCAGTGAGCCAGGATAGTGCCACTGAGCTCCAGCCTGGGTGACAAGTGAGACTCCATCTCAAAAAAAAAAGAAGAAAGACTCATTTGTGTAAGAAAAAAAGTGAGAGTTATATGTGTATACGTATATGCATATACAAATATGCATAAAATATTCCTGAATGATATCCAAAAAGCTGGTAACATAGATTGTCATCAAGAAGGGGACCTGAGTCATAGTTAGGATGGAGGAAGACTTATCTTTCAGCGTCTTCTTTTGTGAACCATTTGGGCTTTTTACCATGTATATGCCCTAGTTAATATTTTTTCTTTTGTTAAAGAAACCATGATTTCCATATATGAACATACACCTTTAGAATATAGGTCAAGAGATTTTCCGTGCTCGTGGAATTCTGAAGTAACTCACAAACTATAAACAAAACCAACCCATTATTTTTAAATCTCTCAGGAGCCTGAGAACAAGGGTGATCATTCAAAGGTACGAATATACACTGCTCCTTGCATGATTCAGGAGCATCAGGAGACCCTGAAACGACTGTCTGAGGTCTGGCAAAAGGTCTCTGAACAGGATGATCTCATTCAAGAACTTCGAAATAAGCTGGCCTGCAGTAACACTTTGGTAAGTGCCTTCTTCTAGAAATGTCTCTGGGAGACCCTCAATCAAGACATGGGGAGAGAAAGGAGGGAAAAAGAGTCACCTAAATGAATCTTTTTCACCAAGAATCCTCGAATGTCTGATATATACTTGCCTTCCCACTTTGTTCATATTCTCCATGGTAATGCCTCTCCCCATCCACGTAGTTTGAAATTCTAAAGAATCTTAAAATCTCTCACACAACAACCTAAATGCCCATCAGTCGGGAAATGGTTAAAGAGATTAAGAGAAATAATTAAAGAGATATCCCTATTGTGGAATAATATGCAGCCAGTAAAAACAACTAAGCACATTTGTAAGAGCTGCACGGAAGGAGCTTTGTGACTTATTGCCAAGAATAAGTTGCAGAATTCCATGTATAGTTCAGTCCTACTTTTGTTTTACCTCTAATGATAATACTAATATGTAAGTACAAACAGAATTTTCAATACTGTCCTCTCCCTTAGTGGAAGTGAGAGAGGGGGGAATAAGTGAAGAGGGGGTTTCACTTTTCCATGCTTGGGTTTTATTTGAATTATTTTCAACAAAATCAAAAAAGCATAAAATTAAAACCAAAATTTCGTGTTTTTTTAATTTTTGAAAAAAGAAATTACACACACAGTCACCCACTCCATAAGGAACTTCCTTCTTTAATTCTCAAACTTTGTATCCTGTCCTCCGATAGATTAGGTACATCTCTCCATCACAGCCCCTGAAGAACCTTCTTCTACCTCATCAAATGGACCAAACAGAGGTTTAGGAGAGAGTGCAAGTGTGGGCATTGATGAATTTGAGACAGATCACATATGCCTTAGAAAACCTTGATGTTAGATGGGGAGCTTAACTCCTTCTCCCTACCTACCCCACAGGGAATGCCTGATGAATTGTATAATTCTGCAACAAACTTATGCCACAGAAAGGAACACTCTGAAATAATAATCATGGTAACAAGCATGTTTCATTGATCATCCGGCATAACAAATCTAAGCTTATTTGCAGGTTCTGGAGCGTGAAGAGGCTTTGATAAAACTACAAGCCGACTTTGCTTCCTATACAGCTACCCACAGATACCCTCCTAGCTCCTCAGAAGAGTGTGAAGACATCAAAAAGGTGGGAGAAATTTGCTGATCTGTGCCTACCGGGATCGGGCTGAGCTGGGTTTGATTCTGGGCTTTCCTACTTATTTTTTATTTTTATATGACAGTTTATATTTTATTTTATATCTGTGTGACCTTGGTTGGCCCTGCCACAAGGATACTGTGTATAATGTATGCCAAACTCCAAAGACAGGCTGCATTCAATTTTGGAATTGCACCTGTCTCTTAACCCACTTCTAACAGTACACCTAAACAAGAGAATACTTCTGTTGCCTTGCTAGATTCAAAAGGACCATCCAGCCTCCTAGTGTCTGGCTGGAGTTGAAAAGTAGCTAATTTAGGAAAGATTATTAATCCAAATTTATTCCCCCTTTGAGAACTCTGTGTTTGCAAAATTCAAAGCAGTATCGAAAGTTGATTCTAATAATAAATAAGCAGTTAAACCATGTAAACAAATAGCAAGAATTGATTGGCCAGGTGTGGTGGCTCATGCCAGTAACCCCAGAACTTTGGGACGCCAAGGTGAGCAGATCACTTGAGGTCAGGAGTTTGAGACCCACCTGTCCAACTTCGTGAAACCCCATCTCTACTAAAAATACAAAAATTAGCCAGGTGTGGTGGCACATGCCTGTAGTCCCAGCTACTAGGGAGGCTAAGGCAGGAGAATCACTTGAACCCAGGAGGTCAATGTTGCAGTGATCTGAGATCACACCACTGCACTCCAGTCTGGGCCACAGAATGAGACTCCATCTCAAAAAAAAAAAAAAGATGAACCAGGAGTTAAAACATGGCCAGGTGTCCTCTTAGGTCAGGTCCTGTTAAGTCAACTGTGACTGAACTTGGTACCTGGCAAAGCCAGCCACAGGAGGCCACGCTGGGCAGGTGCTGGCATGCCTGCATGCCCCAAGACTGATGCCGAAATAGGGGTGAAGTGGGGTGGCAGAGGGAATAAACAACACGTCAGCTCCCCAAGGGGTTCTCTAGTGGGGGAGGAGGAGACTCTCCTCTTTCCAGGACTTTCCAATCCCAGAAAGTTGGTTGAACAAGGGATCAATATTGAACTTTGTAATTTTTCCTTGGACATCTGTCAATATTTATTTTAAAGATCAGTTACATGTTATTCACATCCTGACCTAGAGCAAAAATCTCATAAGACTCCATTTTTTTAATGATACAAACTTCCCCAAGAAGCAGAGTACACCTTCCCCCATTGTGCTGTGTTTCCTTTCCAAAGCCTTCATGCTTAGCAACGAGAGACCCACGCCAGCTTTTTCCAGCAGGCCTCAGGATCCTCCCATCCGCCAGTGTGGCACAGTGTGGGGCTTTGAGTCCCTGCAGTGCCCACTCCTGGGTCCTCTCCCCAATATCCCTGATGCCTAGGCAACGAATTGCTCCTCCCCAGCCACATGCTCCTGCCTTCTTTTGGTGAGGAAGACAATCCCCTCTCCTTCAGGGTAGAAGCCAAAGGCCTTTCAGAAGGGCCCCAAGCCCCACGTGATGTGACCACCAGCTCCTCACCCCTCCTCCAGCTCTCCCCATCGCCTGCTCCGTGCCAGGCGCGCTTGCCTCCTACATGTTCCCTCCACAGGCCTTGTCTCTGGCTAGTCTCCCCGCCTGAAAGCTCACCTCCAGCAAGTCTCAGCTGAGAGGCCATCTTTGCAGGGAGGCCAGCCTATTGTCCTACTTAAAATTACAACATGCACCTTGCCCACCCATGCCCCTCCATTCCCCTTCACTCTTCGGTTTCCCCCATAGCACTTATCAACTGTTAGCATTTTCTATAAGTCACTACTTATTATGCTCTTCATCTCACCCACTAGGGCAGCTCTGCGGGGACAAGGATTTGTCTGTGTCTTTTGCTCCACATTATTTGCTTTGAAAACATTAACAGAGTCATGCCCAGCACCCAGGACAGTGCCGGGCACACAGTAGATTCTCCATAAACAACTGTCTGTCTCAGGGAGGAAGGAATACAGGGATGGCTGCTTTTATGTGTATTCCGTGTGAGCCTGAGAAGTCTGCAGTATCCTTTTGTTTTATTCTGTTTAAAAAAAAAAAAAATGTAATTGAGATACAGTAGTTGAGATACAGTGGACAAATTCACCGTTGGTTTTTAGTATATTCACAACATTGGGCAATCATCACCACTACCTAATTCCAGAACATTTGTGTCACCCCAGAAGAAACCCTGTACCAGCAGTCACTCCACGTACCCATCCCCTGGCCCCCAGCAACCGTTACTCTACTACTCTGTCCCTACCGACTGTTGTGTGTGGCCGCTGGGCATTTTAGAAAGCATTCTCCATTCTCTCTCATCTCCTCATCCTGCCCTATTCTTCTGTCTGCCAGATACTGAAGCACTTGCAGGAGCAGAAAGACAGCCAGTGCCTGCATGTGGAGGAGTACCAGAACCTGGTGAAGGATCTGCGCATGGAACTAGAGGTCGTGTCGGAACAGAAGAAAAACATCATGAAGGGTAAACAGGGCGGCAGGCTGTGGCAGGGGAGCCAGATGGAAGCCTAGCTCTCCCCTGAGCATAGACTCTGTCCCGCCCCATGGTAGACATGATGAAGCTGGAGCTGGACCTGCACCGACTGCGGGAGGAGACATCTGCCCACATTGAGAGGAAGGATAAGGACATCGCCATCCTGCAGTGCCGGTTGCAGGAGCTGCAGCTAGAGTTCACCGAGACCCAAAAGCTTGCTTTGAAGAAAGACAAGGTAAAATGAGGAACACTGGTTGGATTCCCAATGGGGCAGGTGTGAGGCCATGCCCTGGCAGGAACCGGTTCTGCCTTCACCCACCGTGATTGCTTTGGGAGCCTCAACATAAGCACAATGAGATGGCGGCTCTTCAGGCCCAGGTGCAATTCTAAGTACTTCTTTGGTATTTCTCATCATACATAATAAATGAATCTGATCATGCAGGGACCAAAACAGAGGCACTGACTTTTCCCAAGCCCCGCAAGGTAGCAAGAGCATTTGGGACACACTTACTTGCATCATTCCCTTATACTCTTTTTATGCTTGATAGTGGAAGGAAATGATATAAAATAATAGGTAGCCTTACTAAGAATTTCAAGTGAATTTCACTTTTAAAATTACAAATATCTGGCTGGGCATGGTAGCTCATGCCTGTAATCCCAGCACTTTAAGAGGCCGAGGTGGGGAGATCCCTTGAGCCCAGTTTGAGACCAGCCTGAGTAACATGATGAAACCCTGTCTCTACAAAAAAATGCAAAAATTATCTGGGCATGGTGGTGTGCACCTGTAGTCCCAGTTACTTGGGAGGCTCAAGTCACAGGATCATGTGAGCCCCTTGAGCCCAGGAGGTGGAGGCTGCAGTGAGTCGTGATCATGCCATGCACTCCAGCCTGGACCTAGAATGAGACCCTATCTCAAAACAAACAAACAAATTACAAATAGTTTATGAATATGTAAATAGGCAGTTTGAAAATATTAATGGAGCTGTGCCCTAAAAGAACTGTTACTGCCAACATAAATCAAGTTCTTAGAAAAACCTAGAAATGGAACCAAGAACAGAAAGGTTGTGAAACCAATGCAAGCTTTTGTAATCAGTACTATTCCGACTCTGAACTTCCGTCAGAGCTATTAAAAATAATCCAGCTGAGGGCTAGGTGCAGTGACCCACACTTGGAATCCCAGCACTTTGGGAGGCCGAGGCGGGTGGATCACTTGAGGTCAGGAGTTCAAGACCAGCCTGACCAACAGCCCGTCTCTACTAAAACAAACAAACAAACAAACAAACAAAAAAACCACAAAATTAGCTGGACATGGTGGTGCACAGCTGTAATCCCAGTTACTTGGGAGGCTGAGGCAGGAGAATGACGTGAAGCCAGGAGGGGAGGCTACAGTGAGCCAAGATTGCACCACTGCACTCCAGCCTGGGCAACAAGAGTGAACTCTGTCTCAGATAATAATAATCACCATCATCATCATCCATTTGATAGACTGGCTGGTCAGGAAAACCTCCTGTTTCAAGGCACAGAGGAGATATGCCCATCAAAACAGAGGCATTTGGAGAGATGATGACAAGGCACAGAGTCTGGGTAAACAGCTTTGAGTCATTTGTATATTCACTCCACAAATATTTTTGAGCCCTGAGATATGCCAAGCACTGTCCTAGACACTAAGAATATAATAAAACCTGCAACATGCCGCCTCTCATGGAGCTTGCACTCCTGTGTGGGGAGACAGCCAGTAAACAAAATTACTATATAATACTGGTATACCCACGTCAGACACTGATAAATCCCTCCGACAGCTTGGTGGCGGTTTTACACAGAGTGATCAGGGAAGTCCTCTCTGATAAGGTGACATTGGGGCAGAGATTTGAACGAAGTAAGGGAGCCACCCAGGCAGAGGTCTGGCGGAAGAATATTCCAGGCAGAGGGAATAGCAAGTGCAAAGGCCCTGAGGTGGGGTCTGCTTGGAGTGTTCCAGGAGCTCAGCAGAAGCAGAGAGGGGTGGGGGTGGCAAGGGGTGAGGTCAGACAGGTTAGCCTCGGACCAGACCATAGGGTGATTGTAAGGACTCCCTCCTTTTTCTAAGAGATGGAAGCCGGTGGAGGGTTTTGAGCTGAGGCAAAAGATCTGACTTGCACTTTTAAGATCCCCGCCTCTAGCTGGGCGCAGTGGCTCATGCCTTGATCTCAGAACTTTGGGAGGCCAGGCATGGTGGCTCAGACCTGTAATCCCAACACTTCGGGAGGCTGAGGCAGGTGGATCACTTGAGGTCAGGAGTTTGAGACCAGCCTAGCCAACATGGTGAAACCCCATCTCTACTAAAAACACAAATATTAGCCAGGCGTGGTGGCGCATGCCTCTAATCCCAACTACTTGGGACGCTGAGGCAGAAAAATGGCTTGAACACGGGAGGCTGCAGTGAGCCAAGATCATGCCATTGCACTCCAGCCTGGGTGACAGAGAGAGACTATGTCTCAAAAACAATAAGAATAAGAATAAAGACTCCCTCTCTCGACGGTGTGGAGAATAGCCTGAGGGGAACAGGAGTGGAGGCAGGGAGGTTCGCCCATTGTCCAGACAGGGGATGCCAGTGGCTTGGATGAGGGCTTGAGACAACCTCTCATTGCCTTCATCCACCACCGCTCAGAGCTTTCCCAGCATTTGCATTTTGCTTTCTTCAGTTCCTCCAAGAGAAAGATGAGATGCTGCATGAGCTGCAGAAGAAACTGACACAGGTTCAGAACAGCTTCCTGAAAAAGGAGAAGGAGCTGGAGAAGCAGCAGTGCATGGCCACAGAACTCGAAATGACGGTCAAGGAGGCTAAGCAGGACAAGTCCAAGGAGGTGGAGTGCGAGGCCCTACAGGCTGAGGTCCAGAAGCTGAAGAACAGTCTCGAAGAAGCCAAGCAGCAGCAGAGGCTGGCTGGTGAGGCCCCCGCAGGTGCTGTCCCCACCACACTTTTCTGTGGGGCTAGAGCAGCCCTAGAGCAGCCACCTTCTCTCTCCCAGAGGCCACTTCCCTCGCCCCCTCCAGTGTCTCACTGCAGACCTTCTCAGGGCCTCATCCTACACCTCACAGCAGTGGCCACCACCCTCTTGTATTCCTTCACCCGCTCCCAAGCTCACCTGCCCTCTGGAGTCACCCACCCACCATTCTCCCAGCAGTCTTGCCTGAAGACCCTGGGCCTTCCTGGCCACAGGGAGGCAGGGCTCTGTCCTTTGCACCACATTCCTCTCCATCTTCTCTAGGCCCTCATCACACAATTTGCTTCTCCCTTCCCTGGCTTTTTATTCCCTTTCTCCTTTTTGCCCCCAAATACATTCTGTTCTGTGCAGCTTGTACTGTGGATGATGTCCTTGTCCCTCCACAGAGCCTGCTTTCTCAGAGGTCACCAATAACTTCTTGCCTTAGGTACAGGGTTTCTCTGGGGATGATGAAAATGTTCTGGAATTAGATATTGATGATGGTTGCATGACTTTGTGAGTATCCAAAAAAACCACTGAATTGTATACTTTTAAAGGGTAAATTTGCCAGGCACGGTGGCTCATGCCTAGAATCCCAGCACTTTTGGAGGCCTAAGTGTGCAGATCACTTGAGCCCAGGAGTTCAAGATCAGTCTGGGCAATGTGGCAAAACTTTGTCTCTACAAAACACAGAAATTAGCCAGGCATGGTGGTGGGCACCTGTAGTTCCAGCTACTTGGGAGGCTGAGGTGGGAGGATCACTTGAGCCTGAGAGGTCAAGGTTGCAGTGAGCTGAGATTATGCCAGTGCACTCCAGACTGGGCAATAGAGTGAGACTCTGTCTCATAAAAAGTGGAGGGGGGGTGCTAAATTTATATTACATGAATTACTTACCAATTTATAAGATAAGATCCAGGCTTAGCTTCCTTCTTTACCCTCCTTTAATGCTGTGCTCCTTGATGCTATTGGCTACTTTTGCCTCAACTCTTGTTTCTCAGCTTTGGAGATATCACAGGTCCATCCTTCTCCTACAAACCTCCCCATTGTTCTCTTTTCCCTCCTGCTTTGACTGTAGTCATCTAGAGACTCTCCCCTTCTTACTCATTCTTCAGTGAGCTCCCTCCTCTGTGTAGCTCCCTTTCCCTACAGGTAACTCCAAAACTTCAAGCCCCAGCTCTAACTTTGTAACTGCCTTCCCCTCATACCCGGTGGAAGCAATGGCATGGGCTAGAAGAATATTGCTGGAAGTTTTTCTCTATTCTAATGTGTTCCAATTTTCCTGAAGCAGTTTTTCTTTTATGTCAGATTCCTGCTCAAGAACCCGCTAAATCACATCTAAGCATTTCTCTTAGGCTTCCAAAGTCCTCCAAAGCCCCTGCTCATCCATCCACTTATTCAACTCTATCACCCACCATTCCTCCCCACTTCCCTTTCCAGTCAAACTGATGTCTTCTACCCTCCTCCCACACACCTTCCCCATTCTCCTCACCAGGCATCTGCTCTAACAATCCCCGCCCCTGGAATTCCCTTCCTCCCACTTCTTTTTCTACATCTCAGCTTCTGTTTCTCCACTCATCCATCTCCAAGCGCTCTGGCCCATGTGGATCTCTTCCTGAACCCAGTCAGTGTGAGTTTAACATGACAATGTTCTCCAGGACGGTGGGCCGGTAACCCTCCCTCAGGAGCCTCTAAACTCCAGGAGGGTCAGGATTTGTCCCCAGTGACAGAATGAGTTGCACATGAGTTACTGAGAAATTTCTACCAATGTGTTTAATTTTAGTCCAGAAGGTGTCCACAGCTGAGGGGTAGACAAAGACAGATAATTTAATAGGGCTCTTTAGGACTGATCGTGAAATGGAGAGAAATGAGGACAGACTGGGAATTGAAGTAGAGCACGAAATGAAAGGAGAAACTCTTCAGCCAGGCTGAAAAGAGTGTGATCTTCATACACCCTCCCTTCTCACATGGCCATCTCCCCACTTCCGCAGCTCAGCAAGCAGCCCAGAGCAAAGAAGAGGCTGTGCTGGCAGGCTGTCACCTGGAGGACACCCAGAGGAAACTGCAGAACGGCCTCCTCCTGGACAAGCAGAAGGCAGACACCATCCAGGAACTACAGCGAGAACTTCAGAAGCTGCAGAAGGAGTCTTCGATGGCTGAGAAGGAACAAACCTGCAACAGGTGCCCAGGCTCACCTCCAGAGAGAGGTTCTGTCCCTCTTGAGCCAGCCAGGCCCTCTGTGGGCAGCTGCCCAGGCATGGGAAAGCAAGGACTTCCCATGGGGTCAGCTCTGCAATCTGCCCACATGGGCACTGAAGTCTGTCCTGTGGCTGTTATTTTGCTTTAGAAAACGGGTGGAGGAGCTGTCATCAGAACTCTCTGAAGCCCTGAGGAAGCTTGAAAATTCAGACAAGGAAAAGCGGCAGCTTCAGAAGACAGTGGCTGAGCAGGATATGAAAATGAATGACATGCTCGATCGTATCAAGCTCATTCAGCACCAGGTGTGACGGGCAGGCAGACAGCCCATTCAAGTGCTTGCTCTGCTTAAGATAAAACACAGGCCAGGAGCAGTGGCTCACACCTGTAATCCCAGCTCTTTGGGAGGCCAAGGCAGGCAGATCACTTGAGCCCAGGTGTTCCAGACCAGCCTGGGCAACATAGCAAGACCCCACCTTACAAAAAAAAAAAAATACAAACATTATCAGGGCATAATGGCACGTGCCTATAGTCCCAGCTACTTGGGAGAATAAGGTGAGAGGATCCCTTAAGCCTGGTAGATTGAGGCTTCAATGAGCTATGATCTCACCACTGCACTACAGCCTAGGTGACAGAGTGAGACCCTGTCTCAAAAAAAAGGAAAAAGATTAAATATATCAGTCATTATTTGGGAAGATGTCACTACCAATCCATGCAAATTAATTGACCAGAATTGTGGTAGTATGCTAAGCCAGCCACTCAGCACCAGCTCCCATTACCAGTGAGAATCATTTTCAATGGTTAACCTTAAAATTAATCAAACAACAATGTTGTTTTTTCTAGGATTCAAAAGCTATCCTTATCAGTCAATTTATTTATTTTTTAAATAGTGCCCAGCAGCAGGAGATAATTGTCAGTCAATTTAAAGTCTTTAATCTCTGAATTACTCTTTTTACGCTCTTCTAAGATTTTTTAAACTTCATTCAAAAAGGTTTTTGATAAAGATTTGGAATCTTCCAAATCTTTGGGAAGAATTGATGAGAAAGTAGGAGAGAAAGCCAATGCTTAGGAATTGGATCAATAAATAAAATAAATTGCTATATCTGACTGAACAAAGAAAAAATGTTACAGACATTAGAGGAAACCTTTTATTTTACGTATGCTATATAACTAAGGAATTGTCTTCTTATTCATTCCAGCCATGCCCTGTGTGCAATTGTCTGTGTTTTTCCCCCAAATATAATATAGTCTAAGACAGTCTTTCAGCTCAGTCTTTATTTTTTCAGCACAGGGAGCAAGAATCCACCAAATGCAAGTTAGAAGATGATCTTCAGGAGGCCACAAAGCTACTGGAGGACAAACGGGAGCAGCTGAAGAAGAGCAAAGACCATGAGAAGCTGATGGAGGAAGAACTTGAAGCTCTGCGGCAGGAATTTAAAAAGAAAGACAAGACGGTGAGTGGGAGAATCCCAGGAGAGCTGGGTCAGGAATCCAGAGTGGGACATGACCCCAGCCGGACTTTGGGGGATGCAGAGGCAATGGATGCTCAGACCTTAGGAAAGACAGGAAGGACAGTGGGAAAGGCCAGCAAGGAGGGGAGTGAGAAGGCCTGAGCTCCCTCAGGGTGGAGATAGAGCTGGGGGAGAGGGAGGATGGAGTGGGGCTTTTATAGTTATCTGAGATTAACACCTCTTTGCTGTGCTTTATTCTTTAATGAGCGAACAGTTGAAAGAGAATTCCAGAAAGTTGGAGGAAGAAAATGAGAATCTCCGAGCAGAGTTACAGTGTTGTTCTACACAACTGGAATCCTCTGTCAACAAATACAACACCAGCCAACAAGTCATCCAAGACTTGAATAAAGAGGTGAGTAGACAGGAACCCCAAGGGAGTGAGGAACTTGAACCCTGTGACCCTTGACCTGAAATCTGTACCCACCTCTCCTCCACACAGAAATGCAGCTAACTGCTCAGCCAACTGTGGATCCCGGGCCACCTGCAGCTCCACTTCCCTCCCGGTTGGCACCTGGTTGCTGAGCCAGAGAAATGTTTCTTCCATATGTGGAAGATCTCATCTCATATCTGGTGGAGCCCCCAAGCTATCTGGGCTTTGGCATCAAGTCTTCCAATGTTCTGTTTTAGACCAAAGTTGAATGAATCCATTTTGGGGGGCAATTTGCTAGGGAACACTTCCAAAACTTGTCACGAAGCACAAAAAGGAGATGAAAGGGGGGACAGTTATTTTTCATTACACAAGTAAAAATGACAGAAAGGAGTAAATAGCATCTGACATATGCTAAGCACTGTGCTTGAATTCAGTCATGATTTATTTATCATCCACTTAAGCTCTTTACATGGCTTCCATCTGCTTTACTGCCAACAAGAGAGACATGATAGAGGAAAGAAAGATGGAGGGCCAAAGTCACTGACCAGCAAGTGATGGGATGAACCACTATTTGAACCTGAATTATCCAGTTCTAACACCTCTTCCCTTTCTCCCTCATGATAAGCAGCCATCCTTTCTCCAGCTAAATCCTTTCCACCTTTCTGGGCAAGAGAAAAATATAACACCTTGGTAGATGGTCTCTTGGGCTACAAATGAAAGGCCAAGCAGCCCTTTCCTATTATTGACAGTAATTAATTTATAAAATACTATGGAAATATTCTAGAATCAAAGAACCCCAGTATAACTGAGGAACTGAATTTGTAATTGTAATTAATGTTAAGCTTTTTTTAATGTAAATAGCCTCATGTGGCTAGTGGCTACTATATTATACAGCACAGGGCTAAGGCACTGACTGTTCTCAGAGTTGTCCTCCAGAGATAATAATCTCTCCTTGAGTGTGATCTAGAGTTGAAGTCTGAGTCACTGAGATCCCTAAGGAACCTCCATGAATATATGGGATACTCAGATTCCTACGTGTTTAGTATGAACCTAGTGTCATATTTGCCAAAAGAAAGATAACCAAATAAATGTGAAAGTAAAAACAATAATTTCAGATTACCTTTAATAAGAATCAGGAAGTTAAGGGATGTGTGTGTGTGTGTGTGTGTGTGTGTAAGCATCTTCAACTTTTAAAAACATACCTCACATAGGAAAACTTAATTAATTGAAATGGCCATTAGAAAGAAGTTTTGATTATTTTTCTAGAATGCATTTCCTTTCATTAATATTCCATATTTTAATTTGAAAATTTTCCATTTGAAGCCAAGGCAATATACCTTGATATCTTTTTCGTCTCTTTGATTCTAGAATATGTCTACAGTATTTTATAAATTAATTACTGTCAATAATAGGAAAGCTCATTTATTTTTTACATATTCAGTCTGTATTTGGACATTTTATTGAACTCACTTATAAGTTGTAATTGTTTTTAGTTACTTCTCATGGATTTAAGTAGATGATTATATTATTTGCAAGCAACAACAGTTTTCTAATATCTCTTTGCAATATTTATATTTACTTAATTTTTCTTGCCTTATTGCATTGGACAGTACCTACAGTTTAATGTTCAACAGCAGCAGTGTTGGCAGACATTTGTTTCTGGATCTTAAAGGAATGCCTCTGTTTTAGTATGATGTTCCCTGTAGCCTTCTTGTTGCTGCCTTTAGCAGTTTTTTTTCAGTTTCACATTACTAAGAGTTTTATTAATATGGATGCTGAATTTTATCAAATGCTTTTTAAAAAAAATTACTGAGATGATTATATCAACCTTCTTAACCCACTTCCCATTTAGAAAGAAAAAAATTGCAGCTCACTGCTAGTGCAGTATTCTTGGGGCAAATGGGAAATGAGTTAAATAAATAATGTGGTGAATAAAATTAAGTAATTGATCCCAATTTTGGCCTACCCTTGCATTCCTAGTATGAGTCCTGATTGTGCATCATGTCTCATTCTTTTAATATAACATTTGGCACATTCTAAGAAGTGAAATAAGATCAGTATGATTGGAATGCATTGATCAAGGGAGATGTTGGTATAGAATGAGATTAGAAAGGAAGCAGGGACAGACATTATGGCCTCTGTTAAGAAATTTGGGGTTTTATTCTAAAAGCAACAGAAAGCCATTGATGAATTTCCTCAAAGGGACAGGGGAGGTGATTTGATCTAAGTTTGCAAAATATAACTTTGACTACTGTGTGGAAATGGATTGGAGGGAGTGGTAGGTATGGAAGTGAAGAGACCATTTGGGAAGCTATTTCTGTCCAGGCTAGAATGGTATCAGTGAAGAAGGAAGGGAGCAAATTCAGGATGTGTTTTGGAGGTCTAGCTAGAATTCACCAGTCTAGCTGATGGAATGGATATGAGAGAAAGTGAGGAATCAGTGATGACTTCATGAAATTCACCTATAAAACCATCTAGACCTAATACCATTGACAGCAGAGAGAGTAGGTCTTTTATTAGAACTTTTACTAGAACTTCTTGATTCTATAATTCATATATTTCTATATGTAGATTTTTAGAATCTTTCTCCAAGCTAAACCACTCATGTTAGCAAAATTTTTTAAAGCTTCCATTTTAGCTTCTAGCTTCACTGTCATTTTTTTTCACCATCCTCAGTTTTAGTGTCTTACCTCTGTACTGACATTTCTCATTCAGCCATCACTTATCAAGCACTGACAGTGAATTATAGTTTCTCCAGTGATTCCTCTGGTTTACTGGGCAGACCCTGCTGACTCCATGTTTTTCAGAAGTCCCCAGAAAAGATGCACTTCTGTTTTCAGAAGACCAAATTATTTCATCTTTAGGAATAGTTTCACCACCAGGGCATGTAAAATATAGTGTCAGAAGTCCAATCTACCACTTTTCATCTCACTAATTCCCAGGGCTAAAGGTACTCAAAATTCTATCTGAAAAAGTAATAAACTTGAAGCAGTGAACAGTTACTGGAGATAAAACAAGAAAACCCGAAAGAATGTGTTTCTGTGTGCATGGCCACTTTCAGATGCAGGTGTGCTAGAATACCAAAGAATACAAGTCAGGCATATGAATTTCTGTGGTCTCCCTCCAGCTTCCAGACTCAGAAGCAGGTATCTGTCCTGTACGTAAAGTATATAAGGTGGCTAGTTTCTCTGTGTGTCTATGACAATAACTCATAGTCGTATAGTAAAAGAAAGCCCTTCGTACATGTATCACCTCATTTGATCATCATAAAAACTCCATGAAACAAAATGATTTCACTTTGTGGAAGCAGAAACTGATGCTGGAGAAATAAGTAAATGATAGAACCTGGACCTCAACCCAGATTTTTCTTTTAACTATACCATGAATACTCATTACGAAGTTGAAAACAGACTTCAGTTTTTAAACACACTTCTACCCGAACTACATGTTCCCTAACATGTTGATCAATTGATCCCTAACTCCAAAAATGCAATATTTCACGTGACAGAACAATGACCATTTCTGAGCATTTCCTGAACCTCTGTCATGTGCCATGCCCTGAGTTACAGCAATGGGGAAACAGCAGGAAACAAAACACAGGCACAGTCCTGCTTTCATGGTACATCAAGTCTAGTGAATTACATCAGGAACTAAGTGAGTCATAAAACACAAAGGAAACGTTGTTATCATGTTCACTAACCTCAAATCGGATTCCAGGTCGTTATCAAAGACTGCAGAGTATGTGACACAGACTTTTTTGTGTACTTGGTATATCATGCCCCAGCACAGCTGGTACTCCTGGTGTTTGAGGGAAATGCTAACTAGAAAGGGAAATGTGGCCGGGGGTTGCAAAAGAGCCTGGAAAGACAGCTCTACCTTTTACAACGGTGAAGTGAAGATGTGAGTGTTAACACGGACTCTGCAGGTTGTTGCAGACAGGAGAGAGCCTAGCTCTTGTTCATTTCCTATAGGCACAGAGAATGCCTCTATGACCCTGAGCTGGCACCTTGACAGTTCTGCTCTCCCTCCCTAAAGATAGCCCTTCAGAAGGAGTCCTTAATGAGCCTGCAGGCCCAGCTGGACAAAGCTCTGCAGAAGGAGAAGCACTATCTGCAGACCACCATCACCAAAGAAGCCTATGATGCATTATCCCGGAAGTCAGCCGCCTGCCAGGACGACCTGACCCAAGCCCTCGAGAAGGTGAGGCCACACCCTCTAGTCTCCAGGGCTGTTTTCAGGCAAGGAAATGTCAAGGTAGCGGGAGAGGCACAGGAGCCAATTTCCTGCCTATTGACTGTCACTGGGGCCATCTCAAACCCTTGTGTGGACTGGGATGTCTGTGCAGAGAAGGCCTGCTTCCTCTTTGTGAGGCTTGGAGCTCGGTGGAGGGCGGAGGAAGAGGCCAAAGATCAAGGCCAAATCTGGCAAGCCTTTCTGCCCATGGGTGACACGGGGGCAAGGTTTTCCCAAAGTCTGGATTGTCAGGGAAATTCACGCCCCATCCTGTGCTGATCATGGCCGGCCCATCAATTCATGGGATTGGAAAGGGTAGAAATGGAGGGAGTGAGTAGGGAGGAGAAAGCAGGGTACAGAAAACCAACCACTGTCATTTCCCACCCCGCTCTGGGAGACTAAGCAATGTGACCATCTGTTTCACCCTGGGCAGAGGACAGGAAGGGACTGGAACCCTCCTCCATTCAGGACTCAGCAGAGAGGGCCAAAGGCTCTGATAGCCATTCGTCCTCTTTGTCTTTTCCGGAAGCTCAATCATGTGACCTCGGAGACAAAGAGCCTGCAGCGAAGCTTGACACAGACCCAAGAGAAGAAAGCTCAGCTGGAAGAGGAAATCATTGCTTATGAGGAAAGGATGAAAAAGCTCAATATGGAATTAAAAAAACTGCGGGGCTTCCACCAGGAGAGTGAGCTGGAGGTGACGAGCTGCCCGGGGCTTGGGCTGCCTTCCTCGTAGGGGTCCACAAGGTCACCTCTTGCATCCAGAATTATTTAGCACGAAGCCATTCCCTTGGGCTGATAGGTTCCTTCCACTTTCTTGGCTCCCTGAACTTCAGGCAGAGGCGGCAAAGATCGGAGCATGGGTGCCCTCTGCTGGCTGCTGGGAAGAAAATACCCCCAACACATCTCCCAAGGCCCAGGAAGCACCCTCCGGCCTTGTTGTGGGTCCTGGGGTCAGGGAGGCCAGCTGGAGTCCCCCTCCTCACTTTGCTCTCCTGAGTAGGTGCACGCCTTCGACAAGAAGCTAGAGGAGATGAGCTGTCAGGTGCTGCAGTGGCAGAAGCAACACCAGAATGACCTCAAGATGCTGGCAGCCAAAGAGGAGCAGCTCAGGGAGTTCCAGGAGGAGATGGCCGCCCTGAAAGAGAACCTCCTTGAGGACGATAAGGAGGTGGGCATGCCTCAGCTTCTGCGTGCCTCCTCTCCACGCCTTCAGGCATATCCTGCGGCCACCCAAATGCCAGACAGCCTTTGGTGGGGGTGGGGGAGCCTGGGAGCAAAGGAAAGGTCACCCCCTCCATTTAGCACAAAGCAAGGGCCACAGCTGCTGGTCCAACCCACCCGTGTTCTTGTGACTTTGTTGATAGATACTGAGCAGAATGAAGGCCCCATTCTAGAGAAGAGACTGTTGGGTACACCAGCTACCCCTGACCTAGTCCACTGTGTACATCCTGACACTTTTGGCAGCCCTGGACCCTACAGTAGAATGGGCTAAGTGACCTTCTGGGCTTGTCCCAGGCCCACCTCCCTGAGCAGTGAAGTTCATGGCAGGAGGCCACAGGACAGCTCAGGTGGTCACTGGGCCTTTGCTCGAATTGCAAAGAAGGCATCTTAGGCCAGGCACAGTGGTTCACACCTGCAATCCCTACGTTTTGGGAGGCCAAGGCAGGAGGATTGCTTGAGTCCAGGAGTTTGAGCCCAGCCTGGGCAACATAGCAAGACCTCATCTCTACAATAAGTTTAAATGTTAGCTGGGCATGGTAGCCTATGCCTGTGGTCCCAGCTACTCGGCAGGCTGAGTGGGAGGATAGCTTGAGCCGGGAGGAAGTTAAGCTGCCATGAGCTGTGATTACACCACTGCACTCCAGCCTGAATGACAGGGCAAGACTGTCAAAAAAAAAAAAAAAAAAAAAAAGAGAGAGAGAAAGAAGGCATCTCTTCCTCTTCCTCCAGATGTTTTTCTTCCATCGGTTAGAAAATTGGCTTAGCATACTTCTTTTTTAGGAGTCACTTTAATGCCTTCACACTGGAAACCAGGATTATAAATGTACGAATCTACTGTGTCTCTGCTATAAATGGTGCCTTCTCAGAAATGTCACCTTTGTGTGAGATGCTACCCACACAGCCAGAGGGGGAGGCCTGGTGGCAACTTCACAACTGTGGCCTCGGGTTGGACAGCAGAGTCGAGTTTTCTTTTCCCAGGAAGACAGAAGAGGCCTGACTCGGAAGGAGGGATGACAGGCCTGTGCTCCCACCTCTGACTGTCTCGTTTTCTTCTACCCAAGCCCTGCTGCCTGCCCCAGCGGTCTGTACCCAAAGATACCTGTAGCCTCTACCGAGAGAACGATCAGATTATGACTAGCTTGGAGCAATGGGCGAAACAGCAGAAGTGAGTATGGGAGGAAAAAGGAAGGCAGGGTCCAAGGCCTGGACTGAGCCGAGGAGCCACACGGGTGCTAAAGATGAGTCACACACACACCTGCACTCCTGGAAAACAGATCCAGTCTCAGCCCACACCCACGGGACGGGAATAAGATGGAGAGGAGGGCTCAACCCTTCAGGCAGGTCTGGAAAGCCCTGCTGACCTGGAAACAGCAGCGGCAAGGAGGAAGGAGTGCTTTGCTGTGGCTCTGATGTCCTCCTGTCCCGGGATCCAGCTTCACTGCCTGGCCCTCTTGAACTCATTCCCTTGAACTCACCTGGGCTGACAGGGATTTTGCATAGGAGTTGAGTTCAGAGAGTCCACTGAATGCCCAGGTGCTAGGAAGGCCCCAACTCTGGGGACAGGGTGATGCATGGGGGGCCTGGGATGCAGCTGCCGTCTTACTGAGAATCCAGCGTCCCATTCAGCCCGCTGCACCCTTGCTCACAGGAGGCTGGCAACTGGCCACTCTTTTCTCCTGTGATTTTATTACAGGGTCGCCAATGAGAAACTGGGAAACAAGCTCCGAGAGCAGGTGAAATACATCGCCAAGCTGAGTGGTGAAAAGGAGTAAGTCATCTTACACTACCCCGGCTGCTTCCTGGGAGCTGACTGGAAGGGTCAGTAGGGAGCCAGGGCTGGCTTTAGCCCTTGATAGGGGGATCAGCCCAGGAAAGTGCTTCGGAAAGACCTCCAGGTCCCGAATCTGCATCTGTGTCACCTTGGGCATATCACTTGACCTCTCAGAGCCTTAGTTCTCTCACCAAAAATCCAAAGGGAGTTTAGTAGTCTTTTTGTTCCTTCCTGCTCTCATGGTTCTCAGAGGTCAAGGATGCTAAGCAGGGAACAGGCAGTGAAAGGCAGACTGGATTAGTTAGGGCAGGAGCTGAGCTGCTGTAACAGATCCCAAGTGAAGGAACAAACAAGGAACATCTCTTCGTGAAATCATCAGGTGAGCAGGCCAGGTTGGAGGAGCCCTTCTGTTCCACCTGTTCATCTGGGGGCCTCTGGTCTTGCTTCCCCTCATGGTCAAAGCTGGGTCCATTAAGAGGGAGGTATGCGAGGAGTGTTACCAGTTTGAGAATGGAGGTGAAGGTATGAAGATCTAAAACCGAGATTTTGGAGGTGGCAAAGTAACAACTAACAACAAGCCTTAGGACAGCGCTTCCCATCCTTTTCTCAGGGAACACTTAGAAAACGACAATACCTTACATAACACCATGGATACTGTGCAGCTATCAAAAAGAATGAGATCGTGTCTTTGTAGAAACATGGATGGAGCTAGAGGCTATTATCCTTAACAAACTGACACAGGAATAGAAAACCAAATACCACATGTTCTCACTTGTAAGTGAGAGCTAAATGATGAGAATTTATGAACACAAAGAAGGAAACAACAGACACTGGGGTCTATCTGACGGGGGAGGGTAGGAGGAGGGAGAGGAGCAGAAAAGATAGCTATTGGGTACTGGGCTTAATTCCTGGGTGAGGAAATAATCTGTACAACAAACTCCTGTGACATGAGCTTGCTGATGTAACATGTACCCTGAACCTAATAAAAGTGAAAATAAAATAAAAGTGAAAAAGAAAATGACCACAGTTTAGGATCACTTGAGGCCAGGAGTTTGAGACCATCCTGGGTGACAGCAAGGCCCCGCCTCTACAAAAACAAATTAAGAATTAGCCTAGCCAGGCATGGTGGTGCACACCTACAGTCCCAGCTAATTGGGAGGCTGGGGCGGGAGGATTACTTGAGCCCAAGAGATTGAGGCTGCAGTGACCTATGTTCACACCACTGCACTCTGGCATGGGTGACAAAATGAGACCCCATCTCTAAAAAAGAAGGATAAAAATAACCACATTTGTTTGGCATACTTGTGACAAAGCTGACCAAGCAGTGGCTGCCCCAGAGCCTTGCCCCTAGGGCTGTGGGCATCTCCAAACACCTGGAATCCATTCGTGGCACCCCAGGTGGAAAGCCCTATTCTAGGCTTTGACCTTGGGTACATGGCAGAGTTGAAGAGAAGGCTGAGACCTTTGGAATAAGGAGGCCAAGGAATTGAGAAACCAGGACGTGGATGAACTGTATGGGATATTGAAGGCTTTCGAGATGCTGACAGGAGGGGGCCAGAGAGCCAGGGAAGGAAGGCACTGCTGAGACCCCCTCTCCAGACCCAGGGGCACTGGGAGTGAGGGGCTACTGGGCAGGGGAAGAGGCGTCCTCAAGGTTGGCCAGCTTTGTAGAGAGGAAAAGGGTAGAGCATATGCCCAGAGAAGAGGTTGAGGATGAATTCTCTACTTGATTTCCTCTAGAAAAGACCATGAAACTTTTTACTGGGGTGTAACTAAAAGAAAAGTTGTCAGACTCTGAAGGTAACAGATAACTTCAGTCTTTTTCTTCTGTTGTGCCAAGTCCAGGAAGTTCTCTTTTACAAAGAACTCACTCTTGAGTTTTCCTGTTCTTATTTGAAAGAAAAGCATCTTTTAATGATAATAGTAGCTCAACTAATACATATTTTTGCTGTGTGTGAGGTACTGTCTAAGTGTTAACACGTATGAGCTCATTTCATCTTCATAAGACCTCCTGTGTTCAGTATAGTCATGATCCCCATTTATGGATGAGGAAAGAGAGGACCTGGGAAACTAAGTAACTTGCCCCTGGTCTCAAAACTAGTAAGTGGCAGAGTCACAATTCCAATGTGGGAAGTCTGGTTTCAGAGCCCACTTTCACCCACTGCCCTCAACATTCATTTGGAGACACACAACAGTGATAATAAAAGTTGCCGTTTATTGAGGCATGGGGAATGTGCTAAATTATCTTTCCCCTCCTCTGCATGGCAGCCTCCATTTCCTCATCTGTAAAATGGGGATAAGTAACTTGCCCAAGTTCTTGACAGAGCTGGGATCTCCTGTGCTCCCGACTCTTCAGCAAAGGGAAGCAGAGAGAATGCGGGCTTTGGCATTGGTGCTGGGTGAGAATGTTTCCAAGGCATGGCCATGAGAACCCGAGGACACATGATCACAGTTGTCCCTAACAGTCTTCTGGTTCTTCAAGTCAAATTTCTATCATTTATCAAACCAGATCCTCATATGAACCCCAGCAGTCAGGCCAGGCCTGACTGTCCCTGTCTGACAGATAAGAAAACAGGCCCAGAACTGGCAGAGTTGGGCAGGAGTACCAGCTCCTGGTGTACTCGGACCCCAGGCCTGGGCTTCTTCCACAGTACACATGTAGGCCTCCATTTCTACAGAGCACGTGTAACAGCCCAGCTCTGAACAGACGTGGGCATCTGTGCTGTCTTCCCTGTGACACCTTTATCTGTCCTTTCTAGCAGGGAACCAAGCAGAGCCAGCAGCCCCAACACAACCTGTCCTTCCTCTCCTTCCCACAGCCACCTCCACAATGTAATGGTCCACCTGCAGCAGGAAAACAAGAAGCTGAAGAAGGAAATAGAAGATAAGAAGACGAAAGCTGAGAACACAAGGCTATGCACCAAAGCCCTAGGCCCGAGCAAAACAGAGTCCACACAGAGAGGGAAAGTGTGCGGCGCCTTGGGCTGGAAGGGGTTGCCCCAGGACGGGGGTCAAAGAATGGACCTCACCAAGTACATCGGGATGCCCCATTGCCCGGGTACGTCTGCCATTTGTCAATAAAATAAGTGTGTTTTTTTCTTTAAATCACTGGATTGAGATTTCAAGTAGGAAGAAGAAAATAGGCCTTTTGTGACCTCAAGTCATTTCTTAGCTACTTGGGACCAAAGATTGTTGTTTTCACATCTGTAAAGGGAGGAGGCAAATTAAGACCCCTTCTGATCTAAGAACATCTGAAGCATACCCAAGTGCCTCACATCTCAGACCTGTCCCTTCCCCTGACCCAGACCCGTTTTAGGGAACAGGAAGTAGAGGCATCTTCCTTCTACATCTGGAGACCCCGTAAGAGCACCCCAGCCACCTACCTAGCCTGGGTCCACAGCCACCTTTCCTGCCACCTGGAAACTCCATGTTACCCCAGAGGCAAGAGGTCACCTGCGGCAGTCACCAGGCAGAGCTGCCTGGCCACGCAGCCAGTCCTTGAGGAGTCACCTCCATCACAATTAACAAGGTGATTCCTCAAGGAATCTCCTCAAATCAAAACTCTCATTTCCTCCCTGTTCCCTCAGGTTCCTCGTATTGCTAGAATCCACATCTAGCCATGAGCAGCATTTCCACGCGTGTTTCTTCCGAGGACAGTGAGTTCCCAGCCCTCCCTCTCTCTTGACCTGGATCAGCTCTTACGGGAATATATCACGGTCCCAGCCTATTTTGCAAGACACTAACGTTCGTTGAGTTTTGCCCACTTCCTGCCATGTAGTGAGCTTTAGAAGCATACATCCATCTCCAGGCCCAAATATGAAATAAAGACATGAGCATGAGCACAGCGGTTGTGGTGAGCTCTTGGTGTCTTGCAGACATTTCTGCCCTGCAATCCCCCAGCAACATGTTCATCCTGTTTTCTCTGGATTTTAACAGATACTGGTCTCTTCCATATACGGGGAAGCCATTATCCCCAATGCAAGCTTCTGGATTCGTTTTTAAACGAACAAAAGTCATAAGTAGCACCTTTTTTATTTTCTTTCCATTACTATCTGAAACTTAAAAAGAAAAAGTCTAAGAACTCCAAAAAGGAAGTAATCCTGAGACCCCAAAGAAAGGAAGAGCAATAAGGGCTGTATTTTTCAAATGGGGGAGCAAGAGCACACCACCTGCCTCCCGCCCTTGGGCTCCACATTCCATTCCTTCTTCTAACAATTGTATTTTCCTCCCCAGCCACCTCAATACAAGTGAAATTCCATTATGACAAACTCCAAGGACAGCTAAAATTTTATTCTGGTAGGATTTTGTTAAACTGAGTACATGTCTAGAATTTATATTTCTAGTCTATAGGAAGTGGAGACAACTCATTACTAGTGTAATATTAATATAAGAAATGAAAGATCTTACACTTCTGAGGGGGGCAGTAAAAGTGAAGGAAGAAACCCACTGGTTAGCAATCGTTCTTCAATATTCTTCCTGGGCCTAATAAAGGCCAAGAAAATTCACTGCTAATAGGAACACTAACAAGTTATATAGGATGCCCCTGTTAGAACTTGGGAAGGGCAGTTCCAGAAATGCAGTGTGAGCTAGGAGTGACAGGCATCTCTGGTAGTTTCTGTTACCATAGTTGTTGTCTGTTTAAGCTCTTTGAACTATGTTCCCTCATGTGGTTTAGAATATGGGTTTATTTTCTAGAGAAAACAAAGATTGAAAAATCTAGTACTAATCTAGCCTGTGGCTTACTTTATTCAAACAAAAGTTCAATGCCATTAAAATCCCCAGCCTCATCTACTAAAAAGGGATTTTATCTCTATAATTTACCAAAATATTTCATATATTTTGGCCAAAATGACAATCTCTGGTTTCTTTTAATGTTGTACATCTTTCCCAAGTTATCTTTCACTTCCTGTGGAGTGATTACACCAGAGCAAAGCAAGTAGTCAGTTGTGGAGAGCTAATTGGTGGCAGAGCCAGAAAAACATCAACATATTACCCAGCCATCTGACTTTGACAGCCCAGCCAGGCGGAAGACCTGGCTGAGTACAGGGGATGGACTTAGAGAAGTGCAGTTTCTCTAAAGACAGGAGGAAGGGCAGGGAAACTGAGTGTTGCCTGCCTATAATTTGTTAAGAAATAACCAAGGAATTGAGTTCCTAAAAAAGTAGTTCGAACAGCTGATAATAAAAAGAAATGGTTACAACAACACTCTTTTATGAATTTTTTTTAGAAAGCACTCAACAAATGAGGATTAGAAAGAAACTACCTCAGCATAATAAAATCACATATGAAAAACCCAGAACAAACATCATACTCAATGGTGAAAGACTAAAAGCTTTTCCTCTAAGATCAGGACTAAGGCAAGAACACCTACTTTGCCACTTCTGTTCAGCATTGTACTGGCAGTTCTAGCCAGAGCAATTAGGCAAGAAAAAGAAATAAAAGGGATTCAAATTGGAAAGGAAGAAGTAAAATTATCTCTGTTCACAGATCTTATATGTAAAAAACCGTAAAGACTCTACAGACCACCTCCCCTCCCAAAAAAAGCCTGGTAGAACTAATAATGAATTCAGCAAAGTAACAGGATACAAAGTCAACACACAAAAATGAACTGCAGGTTTATATAACAACAATTAATAATCTGAAAAGGAAATTACAAAAATAATTTCACTTCATTTATAATAGCATCAAAAATAAACAAATACTTGGGAATTAACCAAGGCAGTAAAAGACTTGTACAATGAAAAGTGTAAAACATTACTGAGAGAAATTAAAGAAGACATAAACAGAAACATATCCCATGTTCATGGATTGAAAGACTTAATATTAAGATGTCAATATACATAAGGTGATCTACAGTTTCAATGTAATCTCTGTCAAAATCCCAATTATTATTATTATTATTATTTTTTTTTTTTTTTTTTTTTTTGCAGAAATAGGAAAACTCAACCTAAAACTCACATGGAATCTTAAGGGATCCCAATAGCCAAAACAGTCTCAAAAAAGAAGAACAGGCCGGGCGCGGTGGCTCAAGCCTGTAATCCCAGCACTTTGGGAGGCCGAGGCGGGCGGATCACGAGGTCAGGAGATCGAGACCATCCTGGCTAACACAGTGAAACCCCGTCTCTACTAAAAATACAAGAAAATTAGCCGGGCGTGGTGGCAGGCGCCTGTAGTCCCAGCTACTCGGGAGGCTGGGCAGGAGAATGGCGTAAACCCGGGAGGCGGAGCTTGCAGTGAGCCGAGATCGCGCCACTGCACTCCCAGCCTGGGGCACAGGCAAGACCTCCGTCTCAAAAAAAAAAAAAAAAAAAAAAAAGAACAAAGCTGAAGAACTAAAAAAAAAAAAAAAAAAAAAAAGAAGAACAAAGCTGAAGAACTTACTGATTTCAAAACTTACTACAAACCTGCAGTAATCAAAATAGTGTGGTACTGCCACATAAATCAAAAGACAGACATACAAACCAGTGGAATAGGCTAGGAAGAATCCCAGAAAGAAACCCTCACATATATGGTCAAATAATTTTGACAAGGATGCTGAGACTATGAAATGGGGAAAGGATAGTTTTTTATTTTGTTTTCCAACAAATGGTGCTGGGGAAACAGAATATTTGCATGCAAAAGAATAAGGCTGTGCCCTTACCTAATACCATATACAAAAATTAACTCAAAATGAATCACAGACCTAAATGTAGCCACTAAAACTATAAAACTCGTAGAAGAAAATATAGAACAAAGCCTTCATGACATTGGATTTGGCAGTGATTTCCTGGGTATAACACCAAAGGCACAGGCACCAAAAGAAATAATAGACAAATTAGACATCATGAAACTTTAAAAATTTTGTGCATCAAAAGCAATACCAACAGAGTAAAAAGGCAACCCACAGAATAGGAGAAAATATTTCCAAATCATATCTCTGATGCTAATATCCAGAATATATAGAGAACTCCTAAAACTCAAGAAAACAAACGACCCAGTTTGAAAATGGGTGGAGCATATGCCAAAGAATGAAATTGGACCCCTATCTTTCACCATATACAAAAATCAACTCCAGATGGATTAAAGATTTAAATGCAAGACCTCAAACTATAGAAATCGTTACCGCCTGTAATCCCAGCACTTTGGGAGGCCGAGGCGGGCGGATCACGAGGTCAGGAGATCAAGACCATCCTGGCTAACATGGTGAAACCCCGTCTCTACTAAAAAAATGAAAAAAAATTAGCCGGGCATGGTGGTGGGTGCCTGTAGTCCCAGCTACTAGGGAGGCTGAGGCAGGAGAATGGCGTGAACCTGGGAGGCGGAGCTTTCATTGAGCCGAGATGGCGCCACTGCACTCCAGCCTGGTGACAGAGCAAGACTCCTACTCAAAAAAAAAAAAAGAAAAAGAAATCGTTATCAGGTCAGGTGTGGTGGCTCACACCTGTAATCCCAGCACTTTGGGAGGCCGAGGCAGGCGGATCACGAGGTCAACAGATCGAGACCATCCTGGCCAACATAGTGAAACCCTGTCTCTACTAAAAATACAAAAGTTAGCTGGGCATGGTGGCGCTCATCTGTAGTCCCAGCTACTTGGGAGGCTGAGGCAGAAGAATCGCTTAAACCCAGGAGGCGGAGGTTGCAGCGAGCCGAGATCAAGCCACTGCACTCCAGCCTGGCAACAGACCAAGACTCCATCTCAAAAAAAAAAAGAAATCGTTCTCGACATCCGCCTTGGCCAAGAATTTTTGGCTAAGTCAGCAAAAACAATTGCAACAAAAACAAAAATTGGTAGGAGGGACGTAATAAACTAAAGAGCTTCTACACAGCAAAAGAAACTATCAGCAGAATAAACAACCTACAGAGTGGAAGAAAATAGTCACAAACTACACAGCTGACAAAGGCCTAATATCTAGAATCTATAAGGAACTTAAACAAATCAAGCAAAAAACAACCCCATTAAAAATGGGCAAAGGACATGAACAGACACTTCTCAAAAGAAGACATACAAGCAGCCAATGAAAATATGAAAAAATGCTCATCATCACTAATCATCAGAGATCAGAACCACAATGAAATACTATTTCACACCAGTCAGAATGGCTATTACTAAAATGTCAAAAAAATAACAGATGCTGGCAAGGCTGGTGAGAAAAGGCAATGCTTATATAATGCTGGTGAGAATGTAAATTAGTTCAGCCACTGTGAAAAAAGGTTTGAAGGTTTCTCAAATAACTTAAAACTGACCTACCATTTGACCCAGCAATCCCATGAGTAGGTGTATACCCAAAGGAAAATAAATCATTCTACCAAAAAGACACATGCACTCACATGTTCATTGCTGCACTATTCACAATAGCAAAGACATGGAATCAACCTAGGTGCCCAGCAGTGGTGGACTGGATAAAGGAAATGTGGTACATACACACCATGGGGTACTACGCAGCCATGGAAAAGAATGAAATCATGTCCCTTGCAACAACATGGATGCAGCTGGAGGCCATAATCCTAAGCTAATTCATGCAGGAACAGAAAATCAAATACCACCTCTTCTCACTTATAAGTGGGAGCTAAACATTGAGCACACAGGGACATAAATATAGAAACAATAAACACTGTGGACTACTTGGTTTGGGGGAGTAGAGAGAGGGAAATGGGTTGAAAAAATACCTGTTGGGAACTATGCTCACTACCTGGGTGATGGGATCCATACCCCAGACGTCCACATCACACAGTATACCCATATAACGAACCTGCACATGTACCCTCTGTATCTAGAATAAAAGTTGAAATTTAAAATTAAAAAAAAAGTTACCAATGCAAAAAAAAAAAAAAAAAAAAATGGGAAGAGGACTTGAGACATTTCTC